ATTTCAGTTCGGAGACGAGAAATATTCGAGATAAATCCAACAGGAGTTACACACGGAAAAACGTACAGGAGCAATGAGGAAAGTTATTCAGCAGCACATGCAGTTGATAAAGACCTCTCAACTGTAGCAAACACTGTCACTGATACCGGAGCAGGCTGGTTAAAACTATCGAGTTTGACAGAATCCATTTTATCCACAAGGTTCGAATCTACTACAAGTTCTACACTAACTGGTACCAACATAGTCAGTGGTGTGCACTCAGTGAAGATAACTTTAGGCAATGTGTAAACAGCGATAACAACGTAGATGTGTCAGTGTACCAAGGAGAGGTAAAACAGAACTCCTGCGGAACACTCCAACTATCATACGGACTAGAGCAAGCAGACCAGATCTACACACTGATCTGTAACACTGAAGGAGATACTGTGAAACTCAGCAAGAGTACTGGAAACATAGCGGTCTATGAAATTGCAGTGTTCACAGGTAATTGGTCTCTTTCGTGGATCGCGCATTTGAGCAAGCTCTGGCCTGGCAAGCTAGCGTGGCTAAATTTAATAAAATAGTCAGTGATGTTTTCATCACGTAAAGTTCGCTGGGATCATAATGCCTTTAGTAAGACATACTAACACGTCACAGAGCATGGGTGACAGGCGACATGGTTATTTTCCATGTAATCCTCTACTACGCGACTGAACATGATGCGGCCAACGAAATGTACACACTTAATCAACCATTAACTTAGATATCAAATTAATAAAATATCTTCCCCATGGTGCTGAAAAACGCTCAGTCGAATAAAATAAATGACAAAACAACGTACTGAATCTCTTTTAATCGAAAATATTTTCTTAAATAACAAATAAACGAATTCAATTCAATCATTTAAAGACCATCCTAGTGTTATGTCAAACGATGCTATGCCTATAAAAAAATGGTTAATTCTTCCAGTCATAGCGTTCCTTTCAAGGGGGCAGGGGGGTCTTTTAAGTGCAATTATTTTTCTCCTCCTTCGCCAAGAGAGCAAACGAAGGTATGAAAATCTACATTCAAGGCACGCAGATAAATAAAAGGAACAGTGTACGGGAAGTACCTACCAACTGAACATCTAGGTAAAACAGAACTCCTGTGGAACACTCCAACTATCATACGGACTAGAGCAAGCAGACCAGATTTACACGCTACTCTGTAACACTGAAGGAGATACTGTGAAACTCAGTCAGAGTACTGGAAACATAGCGGTCTATGAAATTGCAGTGTTCACAGGTAATTGGTCTCTTTCGTGGATCGTGCATTTAATCGCGCATTTAACTTTAATCATGGTGAGGAAAATAATTCAATAAAACAATTATTCAATAAAACAATTATTTAATAAAACAGTTATGTACCAATCATGCGGCAGCTGCTTCGCAATAAACATATGGTAGATAAATCAGTTAGCTTAAATCTTGAGATTTCGCCCTACTGTTTCCTAGCTTAGCACAATTATTGAGTTCGCTCATTTTTGTGAGAATCAAGTTTAAGTTTTTGGAGGTTCTAAAAGTGAAACTTTTCTATCATCACGTTTTTAGGAAACAACATTTTCCGAACATTTGATTTGACGAAGGAGTAAACTGCTATTCTGCAATATTTGAAAATGTCGTGTATTATGTCGATATCTGTTCTGAATTGTTACCGTGCTTTGTTAATATTCTGGATCATTTGTAATTATTCTAGCTTTGCATCAGAAATGTTTCGTAATACCCTACAAATGCTCGGTCATACATCCTGATCCCGATGGCATTGTCGCGGCACTCTCGTGGCACTCTCGTGGCACTCTCGTGGCGCTCTCGTGGCACTCTCGTGGCACTCTCGTGGCACTCTCGTGGCACTCTCGTGGCACTCTCGTGGCACTCTCGTGGCACTCTCGTGGCACTCTCGTGGCACTCTCGTGGCACTGTCGTGACACTATGGCGGCACTGTCGCGGCACTATGGCGGCACTCTGGGGGCACAGTACCAACTTTTAATCACGTGCATATCACGTAGGTATTAACTTGACGTAAGGACGTGAGGTGTGTCATGTGAATGCTACGTTGTACCTCGCAATAATTTCACAGAAGATGGCATATAAGACGAGCTCCATAGGTAAATATCATGAGTTTAAATTCCCAAATAGTCAGACTGAGCAGGTTGAGCTGTAGTAAAACACAGTACTGAGGTGTTAAAACATTTTCATTACTATCTTCAGTAACATCCTGAATCAGAAACTCGGTTAATATCAGTTCCTACAAGGTGTAACATTGGAAATGAAATGACACAACTAAAAACGATATGAATATTTTTAAAAACATAACTCTTGTGCCCCAATGCAATGGAAAACCTTTAAGATAAATCCAATAATGGAATCCCAAACGGGTCCACGGCATTGAGCCCCAATGGACGTATAGTTCTCAGTTTCTGAATATAACGGTGTTCATCCACTTCGAGAGTTCTTGGGCTACTATTACTGAGAATTGACACTTTATAAGCCTGGTTGAAATTGTCACGCTGTTTCATGTTATGAACTTCTACAAGGTGTTTACCCAAGCTGAATCCGTCGTCGTTTTCTTCAGGGACAAACGTATTGTCCGAAATGAGTTTGTAGTAATGGGCGCGATGTTCGTTTACTCGTGCCCTTAGGGGCTGCACCGTTCTTCCTACATAACACATATTACAAAGTTGGCAACTGAAGATGTATACAACATTGTAGCTGACACATGTACCAGACACTGCTTTGGCTCGCTGTCCGTTGACTGTTATTGATGGATGTGGAGATATGATGTTACAGGTACCGCAGTGTCTGCCCCCACATGGTCTTGTGTGAGGTTGGGTTAAGTCATCCGCAAACTGTTTTGCTTTGACTAACTTCCTTCTAAATGATGTTCCAGTACGTCTGACGAATTTGAAGATAGGGCGTGATGTACCGGCTCTAGATGATATTGGGGAGCCTGGGGTGTTTCCACTTGTATGGGAACCAGATAATCCTGAGAAGCTCCTGGTTCTACTGAGCTCTGGTTCCAATCTTTTTACCGATTCTACTAACTCTTGATCGCTACCAAATGTTGAAATAACGCGGACTGCTGGTTCTGGAGACTTTGGGACCAGGACATTGCTGTTTGAGTTGTCCAGTGGTTTGAGGCATCTTTCAAAGCCTTTGACTTTTTCACTGATGTTATCTACCATAGTTTTAGGGTAGTTGGATTGGAAGAAAAAGGTTTTTAATTCATCAATTTGTTTTCGGAGTCTGTCGTTATCATTGATGATTCGCCGGAGTCTCAGGCATGCACTATAGACTATGCTGCTGAATGTATGGTTCGGGTGGTGGGAACCGAAGTACAGGTAGGAGCGAGCATCTGTCTCTTTAACATGGAGGTCTGTCTGAAGATCACCTGCGGTGTCGAAACAAAATTTTATGTCTAAGAACGCCACATAAACATTGTTATCTTCTATGATGTTCTCATCAATGTTGAGGCCAAGTTCTGCTAGCCTTGTATTGACAGTCGCGATGAATTTTGAAAACTGTCTTTTCGTACCATGGAATACTCCACAGCCGTCGTCTATGTATCTCTTGACCGATTTTACAGGTTCCATTAGTTCCGTGTCTGAATAGACTTGCTCACGCATGACATGGTATACTGCTATGTTTGCAAGTTGTACACAGATACTGCCTCCTGTCGGTACTCCTCGTTTTTGTCTGTACCACTCTCCGTTAAATTTGCCTATAGACGACTCATAGCTGAGTTCAACACTTCTTATCAACCACTCCTTGAATTTGGCGGACCATTCAGGTCTCTTTTCTTCCATGGCCACCTTCAAAGCTTGGAGTGTGAGGTGGGGACTCAATGAATCATATAAAGCTTTGTAATCAAATGTGAATGCTTTAATGTTGCTTTTGAGTTCTGTGTCCAGGGTATTGTTGATGTTGTCGAGCCAGACTAAGGCGTCTCTATTATCAATAAGAAGGTCTTCGCAAAAATCCCTTTCTAGTTGACGTAGGTATTTATCAGCTAGGAAGACATCCGGTCGTCTGCTGGCTCCTTCGTGGAGGGCGGTAATGAGTCTTGCTGGTGGTTTGGCCCCTGGTATGAGTTCTTCTTTTTTCAGCTTATGAATTTTAAAAGCAGGGTAGAAATACGGCTGGCCAGGGCGATAGTGAGGGAGGGTACTGGGGCGGTTTGTGGGTCCAGTTTGGTCTGCTCTGGTGTTGTCAGAAACACCCATCACTTCTTTCGCATCCCTTGCTAATATCAGTCCTTCTTCTTTTCCCTGTACCCAGTGCTTGAAGAGTTTCTCATACAGCTGTTGGGTAGGGTCACACTTCCCGATCTTTCGAGTATGCCAGCGACGAGGCCAGGTCATGAGATTTTCAACAGAAGCTAACTGCATGATACAACTATACCTACTACAGCAGCTATCGTTCAACTATCCTCTATATCTCCACTTAAATCGATCAATCTGTTCCAGAATCCAGAGATCCTGAAGACTGAGAAAATAATATCTCGCAGAACCATATTCTGTGACATGATTGCAAAGTACAATGTAGCATTCACTTGATATGACACACCTCACGAGTCACGTCCTCGCGTCAAGTTAATTAATAATAATATTTTAATACGTCATACTAATCCAGATTATAAAACAACTGAACATTGCTCGTGGGACTTGTTATGTGATACCTAAGTGTATCCTGCAGGAATGTTATCACAACGCCCATAAGCTGATAACATGTGACACGTCACCAGATCAGGATTGCAAATCACAAGGTTTCGACAATAAGGCTAGTAGGTAAATAAAGGGTAATTATGCTTTTATGACATCGTGGTTATTGCCAAAAGATAATAATGAAGGTATAATGATCGTCTTATGCTTTTGAACGAACATTATTAAAAGTTATGGCACTGTGCCGCCAGAGTGCCATAGGAGTGCCGCGACAGTGCCATCGAGATCCGGATGTATGACCCTTTTATAGATATAACTGTCCTAATTATTCAGGATGATACAGAGAGGATAATATACTTAATGTAGTTCGGGGAGTCTTCAACCCTAAATATCCTCCTCGCATCCAACTCCAATAGACTATTGGAGTGTGGCGTTTTGTTTCAAGTATGGGAGGAATCGATGTATCCATTATAGTGGTAAGTTCAGCAAGAGCAAACGGGATGCTGCTTCCCACCATCCTAACCACGGTTAAAAATTGCTTTTGTATCACTGCTTTTTTATTTTGTTAAATCGGGAAGCAAGCTACCGATTTCATTTTCAGTGTCATTTGGGGACGGTCATTTGAGTTTTTTTAAAGAAGGTCCACTTTACCCAAATTTTGAGTTTTGGTTAAAACAACTTATTTGGCTTTTTGGTCAGACATTACATGTGCACTGTAAAAGGTTCAGCGTCCACTTTATTTCCTCCCAAATTAGATTCCATAATTCACATAATCGCCTCAAAATTAAGGTCCAATAAGACAAATTGAAATAGGACATTCGAGAATATGTTTAAAAAAGTGTACTTCCTTTCCGGCACTGTATACTCCTTAACCTTGAAAATGTTTCGCTGCTTCATATTTGGTTGATATCTCGAGCTTTGGAGGCCCTGATTTTCAGATCTCTATCTGAATTTTAACATTGTTTTTTAGGCACCTAAATAGTGAATATGGCGATTTTTAAAAATGCTCTATTTCAAAGCAAAATTCATAAAAGTTTTAACAAGGATATTTTCCCTGTCATCATTTAAATTGAATTCCGCCTTTTTTTCGAACTTGTCCTGCCCATCTAATTATAAGAATTTGTAAGCAATTTTCGAATTATATTATTAAATTATTACATAACTAGAAAGCCCGTGGTCACAGGGAGGAAGGTAATAGTATTCTTTGGTAGTCAGTTTTTATTGCATCAAAAATTAGTTCCATTAAACCCGGTTCATTTACTTTATTTTGTATTCGTCATGATAAGATAGTTGTTATTCACAAATGCAATATTGGCCACATCAGGCATGGAGATGCAACGTGTATAATGTATATAGCGCTCATTGCGTCATGGTGCATTGTTAATGAACACGCGGTAATTGATACTAAAAGTAGGACTAATTTTGGTTTCCCAAAAGTTGTCAACTGCATACAATCAGGTCAATCAGGAGCATTATATTTCAAACGAGTGAAACGATCGAAATAGGCGGACAGACGATCAATTGTATTGTTCTTTCTATGACTATACCATGAATTGATTACATTCTATGTATTATAAGTTGTAGACAAAGGCACATTTAACGGTGATGTGGTACAACGTAGCAGCGTAACTCTGCTTTGGTTCTGACCCACTCGTATATTCATTATCTACTCCAGGTACTTACACATCTCAGTTGCTTGTAGAAGTCTATTTTTACAGTTCAAAACTGAGTTTCTTTTTGTCGTGAGAAGAACGCTCCATCGATTTTCTTATTTGCCGACGAGGTGCTCTTTTTGAATTTCTTTACACCTTCGAAATTGAAATTGAAATCACAAATATTCGTTGGTCCATTGTCAGAAATATTGTATATTTCAATTCAGTAAACCTGATAGTGATATGAAATGTAACTTTAAGAAGTGATTATATTGGCGTAATCACTGTATAATACTTAATAGTTAATATAAGTTTTCTACAAGCTGCATCTACATTCAAGCAATCGCTCTTTTTAAATTGCTGTGATGCAACCGCTGCTGCAATTTAACGCCCACCTCCTTCAGAACAAATACCTGTCGTAACGTGGTATAGCTGTCGTAAATTTGGGTAAACGTACTGTAGTGCGACATGTAATGTAGTCCAGGTAGCGTACTGAAGTGCGACATGTAATGTAGTCCAGGTAGCGTACTGTAGTGCGACATGTAATGTAGTCCAGGTAGCGTACTGTAGTGCGACATGTAATGTAGTCCAGGTAGCGTACTGTAGTGCGACATGTAATGTAGTCCAGGTAGCGTACTGAAGTGCGACACGTACTGTAGTCCAGGTAGCGTACTGAAGTGCGACACGTACTGTAGTCCAGGTAGCGTACTGAAGTGCGACACGTACTGTAGTCCAGGTAGCGTACTGAAGTGCGACATGTAATGTAGTCCAGGTAGCGTACTGAAGTGCGACCGTGTAGGACTTGGAAATTCTCTGTCGCACTTGAGTTCATGTCGCACTACATGAGTAGCGTACTCATGAAGTGCGACAGTGTCCATCTTGGAGGTTTTCGCACTAGGGCACGTGTCGCACTACAGTACGGGAATCATAAATTTGTACTCGTATGACACGTACAGGTACGACAGTTTTAACTTTTACTGAAATACATGTAGTACGACATGCGTACCGTCTTAATCGTATTTACGACAGTCCACTGCTGATATTGATACTACCGGGTGTAAATTATGAACGGGTGTACGCGTATGTAATCCGTTTTCCTGCGAAAACGGACAAATATTGCGTATATATACTTGTAAGCATGCAGTAAGTGATAAGCCCTTAGCCCATCACTTTAGTATTTGAGTAATTGGCCTGATTTTGTGGAAGTATGTGATAACCCGACCCATTTTTCTTCTAAAGACCATCTCCAAGATTGAATTTAGCCCATTTCCGTTCACAGAATAAATAATGAGGAGATTTAAGGCCACAAATCATATTTATCATCTAATAAAATTATATTCAAGAATTGATGAAATTCAACCTATACACTTACCTACAGTATTACCGTGGCTATGTCATAGTCAATTTCTATGTCTAAATCAATATATCGTTCCCATTTTCCGGAACAACATTGCCACGTTTTGTTTACCTTTGATTCCTATATCCGTCCTGGGACGTTGGATTCTTTGTTTTTGAAAATTGATTTTTTGAGTATTTCAAGTTTTTTTGAGAGGGGCACTCTTACTCTATGGTAAGAAATGAGTCAGAGAATATTGCCTTGTGTTTGACTAGGACTTCGTTTCAGACGATGATTTTCGAGATTTTGATAGGAGGGCTAGTAGGTCTAGCTACTTACACCTACCTTCATTATCTAAACAAGTCTAAAAAGATAAAAAAGCTTCAGCAGGTGCAGAATATACTCAATAAATTTGTAATAAGTTTGTCTATTACGTTTCTGTCTTCAATGTGATGTATTTTCTTTGATTAAATCATTAAGTTTCACCCGAACTTCTACTTTTACTATTAGGGTCTTTTAACAATGATACAGTGGCCTGGGGTATTCAGTATTGCTTATTTGATTCTTGGTTGCTCATGAATATCATCACTTATTCGATGTTTCTATTACAGAAAGTAGAAGTGCAAACTGCTATAAATGCTGACGAGAAATCGACGGATATTGAAAGTGTGCAGTGGCTTAACTTCGTTATCAAGCATTGGTAAGTTATATTTAAATGTGTGGTAAGACTTGGTTGTAACCATTAATTATTGCGTTCCTCCTTTTTTAAATTCATGGAATTGAGCACAGCTAAATGGTCTACTTGTTCAATACCAAGGTTAAACTTAATCCAACACATGATCGAGAACCCTGACGCAGGTATCTGACAGTTGACCAGAAGTTGCAGGAGAAGATAAAAGAGCTAGCCCAACCTACCCTGGACGCCCTAATAGTCCCTAAACCAGTCACAAAGGTCATACTAGAAAGTGTCTCCTTCGGGCAGAGTCCTCCCTACATAGAGGGGTGTAGAGCTCTCAGACAGAAGTGGCCGGATAATCCTAATCTTGAGGTGTGACTCCCTTGCAGCTTGCTTGCAAGCTGTTATTTAAGTTAAAAAGCAAAGTTCGATCTCGATTTATTTTTACTATAGAAGAATGTTCTTCCATAACAGTAAGTAGTGTATGTTAACAATAATCAGGGGTATTGTTATTACAGACGCTTCAACTGGTGCTTGGACCCAGGATTGAGTCAAAGGAGTTCAAAGTTAAGATCCAACTTAAAGGTCTGGGTCGTGTCAGTCTCACAGGGTTCCAGTTCAACGGTAAACTACAGGTGAAATAAGAATAATCTAAATTATACTATCTAAAATGATAATTTTCTATTCTTTAGATGATGATATTTTGGGGCAAATGATTTTTTAAACACTAAATTCGCATAGTAATAGTTAATTAAACTTGCATTTTCATCCAGTAGTTTCAAGCTTGCAACAAACAATCGTGTACCGTCAGCTTAGTTTACTATGCAAGTATTTTATTGAAGCCTAATTTGCAGGTGTCTATTCTAATAGACAAGGATCTCCCGTTCCCTTGCATAAAACATGTTTACTTCACATTTATAGAACGACCAGACATTAACTTCGATCTAAGTCTCGGAGTGATCGGTAAGACATTTCAAAATACATCTTGCTAGTTTGTCGTATTTTTAAAGCAATATTGGTAAATAAAATGTTTATTTCCAACGGCTATTGTAAATTTCTCGTATTTTCGAACCAGATTTGACACTGACAGAAACACTATTCCAATTTCTTTTACCATAAATATCACTTTATTTCTTCAGACGTGAACCTGCTACCAAATGTAAAGTCATGGCTTCAAAACACAATAGAAGAGTTATTCTCGGACTCTTTAGTGGACCCGGGAAGATACCTGATAGACATGACCCAGGAGGAGATGAAGATGATGCTAATCTTCGGAGTCAGGAAATTGAAGAGAACTGTCCTGCATCTTCAGGTAATGATAGGTTTTTTTGTTATAGTTTTTGCGACCTGGTTAATCTTAATTCGAATTCTTTACATACGCTTCCAACTGTTTGAAATTGATACACCTGTGCTTATAAAGAAGATTATAACCCTTATATTACAGATAGATATCAGCAAAGATAAGGTTGAGCAAGACAACGGCAAGAAGCGCACCATTGATTGCCTCCTCAATGTAGGCGGTAAAGATTTAAAAGCAGAAGTCGCGTTTTACAGCACTCAGAAAACATGTCATGTTTGGTATCCCATTGCGGCTATTCAAGAGGAGGTATATTATTAATTTATTATTAAATTCAAGATAATTTATTGTTAAAGTAATCCTAATTTAACTTTGCTGTCGTGGTCAACAGAAGTTTTTTCTCCTAAAAGTGACATTTTCAATCTGAATCATAGCATTTTATAGATGTGCAAGAGACGATGTCCAGGTGCTAGTTGCCTCAAAAAGGTAAAAATAATTGTTCGATTGAATTCGATTAATTGTTACATTTAGTAACTTTGTGAATGTGATCTTTGTGTTTCTTTTATATGAATGCCAAATAAGATTGTCCTGCTGATATATTTTCCCTACTGTGTATACTGGTGTCACTGAAAAGCAACCAGTCCTCTTTAACAAGAATATTAGATTTAGGGGTAGTATAATGAAATTCCCGGATTTTATTTGAAGTTATTAAGTTACCACTGGTCTGATCATCCTGTTTCAGATTAATTTCTCCGTGTCCATACGGCGTTCATTTGGGAAAGACGACAAACTTGCCAAAATGAAAATCGACGTTAAGGGTCTGATTCGAGATAAAACAGTGAGTTATTAATATTATGATGTAATCGGGCACTGAGTTGATACTTTAACTTTAAGGGAGTATGCTATAACGACACTCCACCTAGATGGCGCCATTTCTTTATTTTGCAAGTCTGAGTATCAATTAGTTCTAATATTTAAGTTGATTTTGATATTTTCTCTCATCCATAGTTGTGAAATAAAATAAATCTAGACCGGTTTCAGAGTATACTTCACAAATCGTCGATCCAAGGTGAAAACATTTTGCTGAACGTGGAAGCTGTATCCAACGAACTTCCTTACATCCCTATACGACAGAATGGAATTGAGGTTAGTGTGAAGGACAAGGCGGGGCGGAGGGTGGACAGTGAAGACTTGATAATTATTAGTGTGGGAGGAGGGAGGAGAGTGAAGGCTTGATAATTGATAGTGGCGGAGGAGGGAAGTGGTGGAGAGTGAAGGCTTGATAATTGATAGTGTTGGAGGAGGGTGGAGAGTGAAGACTTGATAATTGATAGTGGGGGAGGAGGGTGGAGAGTGAAGGCTTGATAATTGATAGTGTGGGAGGAGGGTGGAGAGTGAAGGCTTGATAATTGATAGTGGGGGAGGAGGGAGGAGGGTGGAGAGTGAAGGCTTGATAATTGATAGTGGGGGAGGAGGGTGGAGAGTGAAGGCTTGATAATTGATAGTGGGGGAGGAGGGTGGAGAGTGAAGGCTTGATAATTGATAGTGGGGGAGGAGGGTGGAGAGTGAAGGCTTGATAATTGATAGTGGCGGAGGAGGGAAGTGGTGGAGAGTGAAGGCTTGATAATTGATAGTGGGGGAGGAGGGAGGAGGGTGGAGAGTGAAGGCTTGATAATTGATAGTGGGGGAGGAGGGAGGAGGGTGGGGAGTGAAGGCTTGATAATTGATAGTGGGGGAGGAGGATGGAGAGTGAAGGCTTGATAATTGATAGTGGGGGAGGAGGGTGGAGAGTCAAGGCTTGATAATTGATAGTGGGGAGGAGGGTGGAGAGTGAAGGCTTGATAATTGATAGTGGGGGAGGAGGGTGGAGAGTGAAGGCTTGATAATTGATAGTGGCGGAGGAGGGAAGTGGTGGAGAGTGAAGGCTGGATAATTGATAGTGGCGGAGGAGGGAAGTGGCGGAGAGTTAAGGCTTGATAATTGATAGTGGGGGAGGAGGGTGGAGAGTGAAGGCTTGATAATTGATAGTGGGGAGGAGGGAGGAGGGAAGTGGTGGAGAGTGAAGGCCTGATAATTGATAGTGGGGGAGGAGGGAGGAGGGTGGAGAGTGAAGGCTTGATAATTGATAGTGGGGGAGGAGGGAGGAGGGTGGAGAGTGAAGGCTTGATAATTGATAGTGGGGGAGGAGGGAAGTGGTGGAGAGTGAAGGCTTGATAATTGATAGTGGGGGAGGAGGGTGGAGAGTGAAGGCTTGATAATTAATAGTAGCCGTTTAAAAACCCTGTTTTATAAACTTCTTTACTGTGTTTAGACACCCAAACAAAATGTCTTTGCTAAAGGAGATCTGTATAAGCCGATTGTCAAATTTTATATCAATCTCGCCGTAAATTTTGCAATCGCCCGCTGTTTTCAGCCTATAACAAAGATAGGACGAAACAATGACTAGGGTTTGAATTTCCCTCAGGTAACAGATTATGCCAAGTATTTCAACATTCCTGAGCTCACTAGAGAAGACTTGAACAAGTGCACTTCTGGCCTGGTGTACCTTCACATTCACAGGTTACTAACTTGTTCAGTGACTTTAAGTTTATACCCAATAAGGTATATTCATAGAAACATATTGATCTGGCAGCTGATACAATCGCAATGTGTTTTTAATCTCGGTTATAAATGCCCTACCATAAGTGATAACTAATATTGTAATATTTTTAAAGCCCACAGTCATAAATATCTATAATCTGTCATACTATTTTATTGTAATATTCAATTTTACCCTGGCAGAGCAACTGGGCTTCCCGCTATGGACGTTCGTGGGAGCAGTGATGCTTATTGTAAAGTTAAAGTAAACGGGGAGAAACTATTCAAAACACACGTGAGCACTAAGCATTGTCTAATTTTAACCATTCGCCTAAGACGTGAATTATGGACTGTTCGTCTACGGAGTTATTTATTCACATCTTTAGTTGACTTTTTCAGACCGATTGAAAATTGCATTTAGATCTTAAATTGTAAATTGTATGCCATTGAGCTTACTTTAATTTTCAGGTCATAACCAGCAAAAACCCCGTTTTCAACTATTTTGAAGATTTCTTCGTCCGTAACATAATAGAATCAGATATGTCTTTGGAGGTTATGGATCATGACAAAGGGTCTGTGAATGATGAGATCGGGAAAGTTAAAATCGACCTAAAAGACGTGGCACCTAAAGTAAGTCCTAAGCGAGGAGTTAATTTTAAATTATATACTGGAATCTGGATACTGAATGTTATAATTAAAATGTAGGACTTGAAGAAAATTATCCGTGAACCTTTTCATTGTGGACATAACTCGTCGCGGGCATAATTGTGCATTTTGAAGGCCCCTGTTATTAAATAATGACCGATAAGGTAAATAAATAGTCAAGCGATATTAATTAATACAACACAAATTATATACAACCTAATTGATAAAATTTCAGATGGTGAACCAAGGTTTCGATATCATAGGTAAAAATGACAAACAGGTTGGAATTCTGTACATTACAGTGATATTCAGACCTATTCAGCTGCCACCTACCTCGGAGGATATCAGCAATACTTTCCACAATAACCTCGGGGCCGGCACTGTTAAAGCAGAGTGAGGACACAGCTGATCTTTAGTGAGGGGTCCGTTCGATTTTGTGTTTGGTTCGGTTGTGCGGCTCCAGATTCCATTAGTTATTCAATTGAAGTCGCGCAATTGAACCGAACTTAGAATCATTATATGAACTCATCAGTTCAGCAGAATGATAAGTTTTGACGTAGCATCACGTTAATTGTTTATTTTGATTTTAGATAGGAAATTGGGAACACTAAACTCTGACAGTTGATTGTGAATTTAAAAATTATCAAAATACAGTATACTAGTCGTAGTTATAGTAAACTGGGTAAATAAATTGATATGAAATAGATTATCTTAAAATATATCGTCCTTTATAATATAATGAAACATTTTCATCGGAAAAATAATAAGCCAACAATGATAAAAGCATTACATTATTGATATCAAAAATTTGAAAGTGATGATTTGTCTCACACGGTGTTCAGTGTGCATGAGTGCTCTAGAGACTAGATAACAGCATTTTTCCTCTAGAATTAGAATATTATATAAGAACAATATGTCCCTCTATACGACGAGCCCCTCTGCAGTCTTCACCACAATTTATGCAGTTTCAATACATGGTTTAAAACAGCCATGTTCAGTCCACCATTACTGATTTTTGTCATCTTAACATGAAGCACGCAGAGAGTAACTGATTGTGACTGTATTCTCCTAAAACATATGAACAGATTCTGTAGTTGATATGAATTGTGGGAAAGAAAATATCGTTTCTGTTTCTCGTTCCTCGTCTCACGTGGTAACCTGCAGTAAGATAAACGAACGCACAAGTTTTGCAAAATGTACGGATCAGAAGGAGAGTTACTCTACTCAGAAGTAGAGTTACTCTACCCTTATCAATCTCTTCTTATCTCATGTATCTGTTGGCGCTGATTTTTGCAGTTCTAAACTGATTTTCTGGAGCTGTTTTGCAGTTTCTAGTTCCTCTTGGGTGTACGTTCTTGTAGTCCTGGTGGTCGAACAGCTTTTGTCTGAGTGTTTAGTGCGTCGTTGTGTTTTTGTTTCTGTTTGTTTGTCGTTAGATGAAGGCTCCTTCGCTTTTCTTTTCCCTGACGAGGTGCATTTTTCGCATTCTTTAGCACCCACCAAAGCTTCTTCGCACACTGGGCAACTGAAACGAATTTGCAATCATTTTGGGAACCATAAATACAAGTAGCACTAGCTAAGTATAATTATCTGGGAAAAGGAAATTGACCTATCCCATTCATTGCATAAATACTAATCCCAAGCGTGCATGGTGTTATCTCGATCCATATACTACCGGTAAAATTTATTTAAAAAAACACATTCTCAAACAAAAATGAACATTGTTGATTGTGGAACTCACTTTTTCTCGAAGAAGTCATCGTCACTGTCAGATAGGTCGGTGGGAAAGTGTCCGTTAATATCTGGCACCACGTATGTTTCACTCACAGTAAACCTAAAACGCAGTACCATTAATAAATTTTAAAATATTGCTGTACTGTGAAAGAAAGATTCAGAATTCAGATATATAATATATAATAATTAAAAACATGAGAATAATTTTTAGTAAAATAAGCAATAAACATCATTAGTTAATAAATAGACAAATAAAGATGGGATACCTTGTAGATTGTGCTATTAAAGCACTGCTCTCCTCTTCTTCCTCACTACTGTTACCACGACAACCTATCGTTAAGTCACTGGCTGATTGAGGTTTTGACCTCCTGAACATGTTTAGGAGCATATCCAGGGTTTCGATTTTGAGGACTTCTGCTAAATTTATTCCTAATTTGTAATTTTTTTCTCTCAACCGAATTTTCTGTTCTCAACTAAAACTGTATCACAAGAAAAGTTTTTTTCGACAGTTTATTTCACGTAAATTCCCTCGTTCTGTTGAAACTGTCGAATTCTACGAATTAGTATCCGTCTCCAGTAGGAACCTCACAACTCGTATATTGACGATTTTAATCCAAATTGATTGACAGTTTCTCAGCTTCTTTCTCTAACTAAGGTTTCCTCTTTTGCATTCCTTTCTTTCCGGAGTGTTTGCTTCCCTAGATCAACAATTTCTGTTAGCTAAAATTTAAGATGCAACGAATAAGATGGACGAATAATCGATAAAGTAACTGCATCGTTGGCAGTTGAGAGACCAATTGTATAACGAACATCAAAAGAATGAACAGCAGAATGTGATTCAAACTCCAAGTTTATCTTCAGCATCTGCTAGTGTAATTACAACTTTTAAAAGTTAGCTCGAAATTGTCTCACTCTTCAAAGAAAGGAGTATGGTATTTAAAGGTTCAGGTTTACTATGATCTAGAAAGTATGTATATGATTGAATATTTTCTCCGGATAAAACAATGAACCAACCACAGACGTAGGGTTTTAAAAGAAAGGATCTGTATGTAAGAACACAGTATCAGTTATAGATTTATCGATTTTAAAGTTCAAAGTAGCTGAAATACGTCATGACTTGTCTAACATATTTTAAATACCGGGAGTAAATTTATTAGTTGAAATAGACGAAATTCCTGCGGACGATCGCAGATCCGGAGTCACAATTAGGTGGTGGAAAATTTGACCAAAACCCATAATCATGGGTAGAGTGTACCGCTGCCAGTGTCTCTCTTTTCCAAACAAAAGGAAATGATATTAATTTGAGGAACCGTCCGCTAATGCAAAATGATACCGAGAATGAAATCGGTCGCTCGCTTTTCCCATTCATTCACGGCTTACGAATTGTAATAAAGCTTATTAAATGGGAAAAGCGAGCGACCGATTTCATTCTCGGTATCATTTTGCGTTAGCGGACGGTTCCTCAAATTAATATCATTTCCTTTTGTTTGGAAAAGAGAGACACTGGCAGCGGTACACTCTACCCATGATTATGGGTTTTGGTCAAATATCATCTCTTTTTGATTATAATGTCAGGATAATTTACACAGTCGAAACTTCATTAACATAATTATAAATAAGGAGATAATTTCAACGATTTCGATATTCTGCCTTTGAAAACTTTTCCTTGTGTTTAGGTAGGTATATCTGTCGATAACCGACTGAATATGGCAATTTTTACTCATTTAGGTTGGCATTAAATTCATATATAATGCCATTTAAATATCGTGGAAAGCAGAATATATTCGAAATCACGAATGAGCAAAATTCTCACCTTTCGCACGTGCAAACTTTGAGCGGACGTTGCGTGCGCATACAATATTGAATCACCGTAAATTTTTGCATAGTGGTATTTAATATATAGTTTGATAAGCATGCAAAGTTTCAGAAGATTTCAAAAAGAACTTGGATCACAACGGGACTCCAAAGTTGATAAAAATCGTGAAAATAACAATTTTTAGTGATTTTAGCTATTTTAAATCAATTTGGGCGTGTCCCCACGTGTGCAACTTTTCGATTTTCAACTTTAAAACTAGCCTATAACACAATTTACACCTTTAAGAAGCAAAATTGAGCTCCACAACCCAAGGGATGGCCCAACACCAGAGAATACTAATTCACAACTTTTGTGTTTTTATAAAATTATTCTTCAAAAAAGCACTAACTTCAATAGCAAATATCTTTATGAAGGAGCAAGGTAGGAAACTTTTCCGGTAGATTTTCGGAATGCTTGAACAATTATCTAAGGTGAAAATGTCCTCAGATTTTGAATAAAATTACTCCTTAATGGTGTAAAATCGATTTGAAAAGTTGTTACTTTGTCAAAAATTAAGTTTTAAAAACACTTAATTTGATGACGTCATCAAGTGATAATGATGACGTTAAATTATTTTTCAATACAATGTAAACTAAATCTTAAACGATTATCTTTAAAACCTGTGGTTCGAGATGACTGTATCGTTTATACTTTTGGATCTACGGACACTTAAATGTAGGCTACAATTGACTGCCAAAGCGTCTATACATATCACAATGCTGGCAAGCATAACCGTTGCCCTTATATTCACAACACTATTTACCCCCTATACTATTATATCCCCTTTATTGTTTTCCAGGCATTAAGATTCATCGAAAGTAGTTCAGCAGGTATATTTAAGTTCAAAACATTCTAATTCAATGTTAAAGATAACAGGAATAAGAAATAGTTATGTGGAGGTTTTTAAGAAATTTGCGCAAAATACGCGCCAGCATGTTATACAAAATTAGGTAAAAAACCCAAAATCGCCATATTCAGGTGCCTTAAAAACCATGTTAAAATTGAGTTATAGATCTGAAACTTTTCAGGGCGTCTAGACCTTGTCCAACTCGACTGTAAAAAAAATTACATGTTTCAGGAGTATCAGGAAGTGGGTTTACTGGAACCCCTGTTTTACAACAGATTGTCGTGAAGTATATATATGTATATGAGGGACCACATGCAAAACTGGTATATCTGATTTTGATAGTTTTGAGATAAATGCATTTTACTGATTTAAAGATTCTATATCATGTGTAAAAAACACTTCTAAAAAATGGTATATCTGTCTATATACCATTTTTTAAACTAGAATTGTACCAAAACTGGTATATCTCACGATATACCATTTTTTCTATACTATAAACAATAAAATAATTTAACTGAGAATGGTATATCTGAAGATATACCATTTGGGCTGGCTAAAGTCTATAAAATGTGTATAGATATACCGGTTTTATTGAAGATAAGTTTCTTGAAGGTGGTCTATCTGCAGATATACCATTTTGTTTTCATGATTGTTAAAAGCTAAAATGGTATATTGTAACATATACCAGTTTTGGAAAAATAAAATTTCACTTTTTTTCAAAAATTTCTTCAAAATTGTTCAAAAAAAATTCCAAAGATGCACCTTTTCACCCTGAAGACTATGAGCTACCTGCGCAAAATTGGTATATGTTCAGATATACCAGTTTTGCATGTGGTCCCTCATATATGTATATATATATTATATAGACGCTTTAGCAGTCAATTGTAGCCTACATTGAAGTGTCCGTAGATTCAAAAGTATAAAAGATACAGTCATTTCGAACCACAGGTTTTAAAGATAATCGTTTATACTTTAGTTTACATTATATCGAAAAATAATTTAACGTCATCATCATCACTTGATGACGTCATCAAGTTAAGTGTTTTCAAAACTTGATTTTTAACAAAATAACAACTTTTCAAATCGATTTTACACCATTAAAGAGTAATTTTATTCAAAATCTGAGGACATTTTTATCTTAGATAATTGTTCAAGCATTCTGAAAATCTACCGGAAAAGTTTCCTACCTTACTCCTTCATAAATATATTCGCTATTGAAGTTAGTGCTTTTTTGAAGAATAATTTTATAAAAACACAAAAGTTGTGAATTAGTATTCTCTGGTGTTGGGCTATCCCTTGGGTTGTGTAGCTCAATTTTGCTTCCTAAAGGTCTAAATTGTGTTATAGGCTAGTTTTAAAGTTAAAAATCAAAAAGTTGCACACGTGGGGACACGCCTAAATTGATTTAAAATAGCTAAAATCACTGAAAATTGTTATTTTCACGATTTTTATCAACTTTGGAGTCCCGTTGTGATTCAAGTTCTTTTTGAAATCTTCTAAAACTTTGCATGCTTATCACACTATATATTAAATACCACTATGCAAAAATTTACGGTGATTCAATATTGTATGCGCACGCAACGTCCGCTCAAAGTTTGCACGTGCGAAAGGTGAGAATTTTGATCATTCGTGATTTCGAATATATTCTGCTTTCCCACGATATTTAAATGGCATTATATATGAATTAAATGCCAACTTGAATGAGTAAAAAGTGCCATATTCAGTCTTTTATCAACAGATATACCTACCTAAACACAAGGAAATGTTTTCAAAGGTAAAATTTCGAAATCGTTGAAATTACCTCCTTATTAATGAAGTTTTGACTGTGTTAATTATCCTGACATTATAATCAAAAAGAGATGATATTTGACCAAAACCCACAATCATGGGTAGAGTGAACCGCTGCCAGTGCCTCTCTTTTCCAAACAAAAGGAAATGATATTAATTTGAGGAACCGTCCGCAAATGCAAATTGATACCGAGAATGAAATCGGTCGCTCGCTTTTCCCATTCGAATTCACGGCTTACGAATTGTAATAAAGCTTATTGAGTGGGAAAAGCGAGCGACCGATTTCATTCTCGGTATCAATTTGCATTTGCGGACGGTTCCTCAAATTAATATCATTTCCTTTTGTTTGGAAAAGAGAGGCACTGGCAGCGGTTCACTCTACCCATGATTGTGGGTTTTGGTCAAATATACATATATATATATATATACTTCACGACAATCTGTTGTAAAACAGGGGTTCCAGGAAACCCACTTCCCGATAC